ATAATATAATATAATATAATATAATATAATATAATATAATATAATATAATATAATATAATATAATATAATATAATATAATATAATATAATATAATATAATATAATATAATACAATATAATATAATATAATATAATATAATATAATATAATATAATACAATATAATATAATATAATACAATACAATAAAATATAATATAATATACTACAATATAATATAATATAATCAGTAAGTCACAGTATGTATACATACTTCAACTAATCAGTTTTCATGCTGTTCAGCCTTTTAATCTTAAAATGTGAGCAAAATCGCCTTTGTTGTCTTCACTTTAGACATTACGCTAGAGAATCATTCAAATGCTAGCTCTAAAGTGACGTTTGTGAATCATTAGCTTCAGATGCGAATGAAAGACAGAAAAAAAGTAGTTCCTCTTACAAAAGGATATTGAGACTCTACATGTTTGATTGCCTTTTTTATACACACGATTATGTCGTCGAACTGTTGTATAAATGTAATATAAAATTCGTAGCAGTGCAATATGGATGTATATTGTCACTTGTGCCAACGCACGCCTCCCACCAGTGCTGATATAGAGCCATATCGCACTATTACTCGTATAATATTCTCATATATTATATTATATTATTTTATATTATATTATATTATATTATCTTATATTATATAAAATCTTATGCTTTAGTATACTATAAAAAGTAAAAATTATAAAACACTAAACTGAATCATAATTAATAACTGTAATGTTTGCTTCATATTTCTGAGATTTTATCTGATTTTTATGACTGTATATTATATTACAAAATTTATAAAAAAGACTTTATAAATTTTTTCTTTTATAACATTACATTATATTATATTATATTATATTATATTATATTATATTATATTATATTATATTATATTACAAAATCAGTTATGAGTACATTATAAAAAGGACAAATAATTATGATGAATATCTCATAATTGCAACGTTTGCATCATATTTACTTATGACTAATGTTATTATAATTAAAAAATATATATATATATATATATATATATATATTTATATATATATATATATATATATATATATATATATATATATATATATATATATATATATATATATACATACATACATACATACATACATACATACATACATATATATATATTTAATTTTATTTAACATTTTTTTAAGCGTAAACATGATTTAATAAGTCTATGCAAACATTGTGTATTTTTACAGAAAAAAATCATAGACTTTCGACCAAACTCATATTTACTTAGATGTGTTACTTCACACTTCTGCGTGATTATTTCCAGACTTTACCTGAGTGAAAATTGTTTATCAGAATCTCCAATACCAACAAAAAATCAAATACAACATAAATGTTAGTTTATTTTATTTATATTAGTTTGTGTTCATATTCACAGCACACAACACAAGTATAAAGGAAACTCATTCATTCATTTTCTTTTTCGGCTTAGTCCCTTTATTAATCTGGGGTCGCCACAGCGGAATGAACCGCCAACTTATCCAGCATATGTTTTATGCAGCAGATGCCCTTGCAGCTGCAACCCATCAAAGGGAAACACCCATACACACTCAATTACACACATACACTACGGACAATTTAGCTCACCCAATTCACCTATAGCGCATGTCTTTGGACTTGTGGGGGAAACCAGAAACCCACGCATACGGGGAGAACTTGCAAACTCCACACAGAAATGCCAACTGACCCAACCGAGGCTCGAACCAGCGACCTTCTTGCTGTGAGGTGAAAGTGCTATTCACTGCACAACCGTGCAGCCCTATAAAGGAAACCGTTAAAGATAATCTATGAGTTGAAATGACACTCACCTCCCTGTGGGAAAAACTGAGCGTAAATTTCCTTAAATGTGTCTTCATTGACCACACCACTGGGACACTCCTGAAAACACACACAACAGACACTTCCATCACAATCTGAAAAGATATATACAGCATATGCATGTACATACAAATAGAAAAACGGCATCGTTTCTGAGCAATAAACGTATCTTGCATAGTGTGATGCATACAAATGTGTTTGATAAATGAAAGCGTGAAGCAGCAGATAAACACACTGTACTGGAAGTGCACTGAACGCAACAATAGCACATTATATCTCTCCTTCATTTCAAATAAATGAGCTCAGAGGCTTCATGTCAGACTTTATATTCTTCCAGGGAGATGTGAGATCATATAAACCTCAAATATGATCGGACTATTATTCAACACTGATGTCTGCATGTTGTTTGTTCAATATTATTTGATGACCTGCACTGAAAATGATGCGACCTTCTCAAAATGACAGAACAATGGTGCAATCTGCCATGTTTGCCCGATGAAATGCTCTTAGATGTTTTGCTTTAATAAACTCGTTAATGTGCGTTTCTTCAGAAATAATAATTGAACACATACGTTGTCTCTGAACATCGGCGGTGCAGTTTCTTTATTACTCTTCTTAAGGGAGTTGCGGTGGCTGATATCCAAGATGTTTGTTGAACTGAAACTTATTGTATTACTCTCAGGATTGCAGCAAAAATAATAGATGCTGTTATCCGAATCCGAATCAAAATCAAAATCAGAATCATACTTATTGAGAGTACATGTAGAAGGAAATCTGTCATGGTGAATTGGTGCCTGACTAACACAACATACATTTTTGTCATTTAATAATAATAATAATAATAATAATAATAAAAATAATAATAATAATAATAATAATTAGAGATTTAAAAATAATTCCATATAATATAATAATAAACAATGAGACAATACGTAGTTATCATACTATAGTAAAGTACTTTAATTAATTTGTTGTGGTAATTCTGTTGTTACTATGGTAATGCAAAAACTACAGTAATACTAAGAATTGACCCTGTAGTTATTGTAGTTTCTACAACTGTAGGGTATAATATAATACAACACATTAACAGTTTGTTACTGTCAACCATGCACGTGCACACATAGGGCTCAACCTGTGCAGTGCACATGCCCTTTTTAGTCTTCAAAATTTCATCCTGCACATGCCCCTTAAACAGTCTCTGCACGGTTCTGCTGTCAACTCTGTTTCTGCCAACTCTGTTACTGTTAATTCTGTTACTGTCAACTATGTTACTTTTAACTATGTTGTTCTCTTTTTTCTGTCAACTCTGCTGTTATCTGTTACTGTCAACTCTGTTATTGCAAACTCTGTTGTTGTCTATTACTGTCAAATCTGTTACTGTTAACTCTTTCAACTCTGTTGTTGTCTGTTACTGTCAACTCTGTTACTGTCAACTCTGTTGTTGTCTGTTACTGTCAACTCTGTTACTGTCAACTATGTTGTTGTCTGTTACAGTCAACTCTTGCTGTCAACTTGGTTACTGTCAAATCTGTTGTTGTTTGTTACTGTCAACTCTGTTAATGGTAACTCTGTTATTGTTAACTCTGTTACTGTCAACTCTGTTACTGTCAACTCTGCTACTGTTAACTCTGTTACTGTCTGTTACTGTCAACTTTGTTATTGTTAACTCTGTTATTGTTAACTCTGTTATTGTTAACTCTGTTACTGTCAACTCTGTTACTGTTAACTCTGTTATTGTTAACTCTGTTATTGTTAACTCTGTTACTGTCAACTCTGTTACTGTCAACTTTGTTATTGTTAACTCTGTTACTGTCAACTCTGTTACTGTCAACTCTGTTACTGTCTGTTACTGTCAACTCTGTTACTGTCAACTCTGTTGTTGTCTGTTACTGTCAACTCTGTTACTGTCAACTATGTTGTTGTCTGTTACAGTCAACTCTTGCTGTCAACTTGGTTACTGTCAAATCTGTTGTTGTTTGTTACTGTCAACTCTGTTAATGTTAACTCTGTTATTGTTAACTCTGTTACTGTCAACTCTGCTACTGTTAACTCTGTTACTGTCAACTCTGTTACTGTTAACTCTGCTACTGTTAACTATGTTACTGTCTGTTACTGTCAACTTTGTTACTGTTAACTCTGTTATTGTTAACTCTGTTATTGTTAACTCTGTTACTGTCAACTCTGTTACTGTTAACTCTGCTACTGTTAATTATGTTACTGTCTGTTACTGTCAACTTTGTTACTGTTAACTCTGTTATTGTTAACTCTGTTATTGTTAACTCTGTTACTGTCAACTCTGTTACTGTTAACTCTGCTACTGTTAACTATGTTACTGTCTGTTACTGTCAACTCTGTTACTGTTAACTCTGTTATTGTTAACTCTGTTATTGTTAACTCTGTTACTGTCAACTCTGTTACTGTTAACTCTGTTATTGTTAACTCTGTTATTGTTAACTCTGTTACTGTCAACTCTGTTACTGTTAACTCTGTTATTGTTAACTCTGTTATTGTTAACTCTGTTACTGTCAACTTTGTTATTGTTAACTCTGTTACTGTCAACTCTGTTACTGTCAACTCTGTTACTGTCTGTTACTGTCAACTCTGTTACTGTCAACTCTGTTACTGTTAACTCTGTTATTGTTAACTCTGTTACTGTTAACTCTGTTATTGTTAACTCTGTTATTGTTAACTCTGTTACTGTTAACTATGTTATTGTTAACTCTGTTATTGTTAACTCTGTTACTGTTAACTATGTTACTATCAAATCTGATACTGTCAACTCTGTTATTGTTAACTCTGTAACTGTCTGTTGCTTTCTGTTACTCTCAATTATGTTACCGTCAACCCTGTTACTATCAACTCTGTTATTGTCTATTACTACCAACTCTGTTACTGTCTGTTACTGTCAACCCGATTAATATCAACTCTGTTATTGGTAACTATGTTACTGTCTGTTACTCTCAACTCTGTTACTGTCAACCATGTTATTGTCAACTCCTTTACTGTCTGTAACTCAACTCTGTTACTGTTGAATGTTGCTGTATATTACTGTTAACTCTGTTGCTGTCAACTCTGCTACCGTCAACTTTGTTATTGTCTGTTACTATCAACTGTTATTGTCAACTCTGTTACTGTCAACTCTGTTAAATGCTCTATATTACATTTCAACATTATGCAGTATGTGTGTGTGTGTGTGTGTACCCCCCCCCCATCTCTCTCCAAACTGAACATTATATTTGGTAACCCATATATATTTATACGACACAATGATTACAGATTAAACTTTAAGACCTGCATTCATCAGTCCTTTATTAGCCACTTCCAGCATTCCTCATGTGCTTCCCTTGCAATGATAGATCAGTGAAAACAAAGTGAAATCACATCTTTAACAATACCTCTCCCTTGACGACAGATACAAAAGCAATAAAAGCAACTAATGTCTCTGTCGCAGGGAAACGCCGGCACTTTCTAATTTGTAGCATTGGATGTATTGTTTTAATTCACATGTTTGTACCGAAAGAACAGAGAAGTCTAATGTTCTTTTAACTAGTTTACTGAAAGCACGACGCCAGATTCTGACATCTATAAAACATTCAGCTTTATAAGGAGAAACAGATGAGCTGTAGCTTTATTATCGTATTCATCCTGCCTGCTGCGATTTAAAGTGAGTGATAGAAGTGTCATTTCTGTTGACATTCTGCGCATTTATGTGATGGAGACAAAACATCGCGCATCCATAGCAGAAAAGAAAGACAAATCTGATGTTTATGTCGCTTTGTGCTTATTTTGAGCGTCATCAACTGCTTTAACGTGACTTTTATTATGTGAAATGGGTCCTAAGCATTTATGATTTCAAAATATATTGTGACTATTAAGAATTATTATGGATTCTCTTTAAGAAATGAACAATTGTAAGGCGCCAGCCACATTTCTAAAAGCCGGAAGAGTGTCATTTGAACCGCAGGATTCAGATTAGATTATATAGTAGAAATGGCTATTTTCTAAATGATTGTTGTTGCTTTGTCCAATGGTTTGGCAATTGCGGTAATTATGAAAAGTGCTTTTAAATGTATCTATTTCAAGCAAGGTAATTGCAGAAAATTGCTTAGTTGTCCTTAATCCACTTATCCAAGAAAGATTTCTGCTGTTTTTTTTTTTTTTTGCCTAAATCATCCATTTCATTTAAGTGTTGAGACAAACCCTATTATGGGTTTTTGAAAATTACCTTCCAACGGTGTGTAACAAAGCTCTAAGTGAATGAAAACATCTGGCTGAGGCTAAAATCTGAGGCCCTGTTTACACTAGTGCATTTTAGTTTTAAAACGGCGTTTTAGATCAAAAACGATCCGCGTCCACACTAGCGTTTCACCTGGTGTTTCTGAACATATCTCCGTCCACACTACGCCACCAAAAACGTACATCACATGACCATTCGCGCACTCTGGGCATGCGCGTTCTAGTATAAACAGAAAGCATGCGTCTCGCTCGGCATTTGGTTATTGTAAGTCAACAAACGCCGGTGGAACAATGAACACGATGGCAGAGAAAGCAGAAGAGGTATTTTTGTGGACAGACGATGAGGTCGAGTTGTTACTAAACGTAACAAATGAATAACTGCACAATGGCACCTAAAACAGACAATAGTGCAAACAACGCTTCCATTTCTGTGTCCATGCTGTTGTTTACAGTGAAGGCTGGTCTGCTGTCTTCCGGTAGCGTTAAAGTTATGTGTTATGTTCATGTGATAGGGGCTTGACGAATAAGGGAAAGATATGCAATGACACAAAAGCCCCAATCAGGTAGCGAATCTCAGCAGCCCCGCCTCCATATTCAGATGTCTCTGTTTTCCCCCATCCACACTGATACGGAGCAGCAGCGTTTCAGAATGAAAACGGCCTCTCCAGTGTTTCCAAAACGCTCCGTTTTCAGCACTCGAAAATTTTGGCGTAGTGTGGACGGATGGCGTAACGGTAGCAAAACGTATGCGTTTTCAAACTAAAACGCATTAGTGTAAACGGGGCCTAAAGCTGCTCCTTGTCTTATAGCTCTATAGTCAAATA